GGTATAATCAAAACTGGGAATTGGCCGCTTGCAGAAGCTGGCCTTGAAGTTGGTTCTTTTTTTTTTCAAGTTATGCAAGTTTCGGTGTTAAAGCATGCTGCCCCTAAAAATAGACCTCGTTTGCTGCACATGCAAAGTGATCATGCTTGTTCGAGATGAATACATTTCCCGTTAGTACTAACTGATCCTATGTTTTCATGAATTCTAGTAGTTAATGATGATAACAGGGTTCTGTTGTTGAAGAACTTCAGATTCTAACTCGAATAATGCGGGAAAAATAAGTACATGAACCAAAAACCTAAAGCTATGATCTGTATTCCTTCGATCATTAAACTTACAATCATATTCGTCCTTTTTTGAATTCTTACAAATTTTAACCTTAATCGTGCAGGAGAAATAGGTAAAGGTCAGATCACATAAGTGTTGTGGAAATTTTAAAGATACAAACCGAGAATATTCTTGGCAAGAAGACTGCTTTTGATGACTGTTCTTCCCGCTACAGTATGAATTTATGATTAATTTACATTCTTAGAGCCTCTCAGATTTAAAAAGTAGATTTTGGCTAAAAATGATTGGAAGAAAACGAATGGGATAGGGTGATGCCGGTTTGGTATTTCAAAAAGTTTCTTCATGATTTTTGAAGGTACTAGTTTTGCAGAAGCTGACATCACCATCCTACTTGAAAAATCATATGCCTTCGGATTTCGAGAAATTTTTTGTGGAAATGATTACTGTCGCTTTATCTGAAGGTGCTCACATAAATACGCCATTGAAGATTGCTTTGTCACAGGTTTTTTTTTCTCTGTCAATGTTTTCATTAGAATTTGTTCGAACACTCTCTCATAGATTATAAACAGAACCAAAATTTCATAATTTCGGCTGAAATATTAATTTCCATATATGTAACAGAGGTTTCAGTCGTTAATATCTCCAGTTTACCTCACAGTTACTTAACGTTTACTCGTGGAATGGCTTTATTATGCATGCTGTTTTAAACTTATAATTATCACCCAACAGCAAATGAATATTGAGGCCCAGTTTTATTAAATTCAGGGCCTGTAGTACCTAAAGCAACAGCTGATTAAAGCACCAGAATACTTGCCTGAATACTTGAGCAGCTGCTTGTCATCGACGTTCATTGCCACGCCGTCGAAGCAGCTGGCAGCTTCTCCATTCGATTCGTTGTTGCGCTCTCCGATTCCACGCGATACCGTACAGGCATACCATGGGGTCCCTTCACCTTACTGGTGGCCTCCCCAGTGTTCGCTTAACCGTGCACGGGTGACATTCCACTAAGCCGCTTAGTACCATTCCATTCCTTTTGCTGGTTCAAGTAAGTGCCAAACAAACTCAGCAATTATCGCACACAAACAGTCTTAAGGGGTTTTCTTGTACTTATTCTTAATCGTAGGACTTGATTTTTGATGTAATCTAAGTTAATAATGGTGTGTGTGTGTTTTTTTTTTTTGCAGCTACCAGTGAATGTCGATTTTGCATTGTCTCTTTTAAAACCGTTCACTGAACAAAAGACAAAGAAACGTGATCGCAGCCTTTGCCACTGGGATTGTTTTAAAACAGAAGATTGCACACAGTTCGAAAGCCGTCGTCGTTTTGCGCTGGAAGTGTTGATTGCCAATGACAGCCTTCAAGCATCCGCTAAGCTCTTTCAGCTGCTCTACGAAATTCTGAAAGAGTAAGTTCTGTGTTTTTTCAAAATCTTGTTTTTGAATAGTACTACAGGTTATGAGCTATTTTAGTTAAACTCACAAAATGGTTTCATTTTTTTTCAGAAACACTCAAAAAACTCTCTCTAATCGCACTTTCGGGAGGGACAAGGGCAGTTCGAAGTAGCCCAAGAGGTAGGGACAAGGGCAGCTGGAAGTAACCAATTCTGGATCTCGATTTTGTGGTAAAATTTCAGATACGCAGTTAGATTTTGTTGCAGGAACATTCCGGATCTAGAATTGGCCGCCAAACTTTCGGGACTGGTGTTTAATTGCTTTTATTACCTGGACAGGCCTGGCTTATCCCAAACATTTAAAACTCGTGAGGTTCTATCCTCCTACATTTACTTGATATAAATATGTATGAATTATAGGGCGATTGTAAAACAAGCGGATGATGACAGCCAATATTCGCAACAGCTCGTTATTAATTTTATCATTTGTTTGATCAAAAATCCGCGTGAGTTCATCTTTTCTTTTTTTGGAAATTTAAAAATGATAGCTGTTATGCTGCTATCAGTATCAATACTATCGTGAATGGAACCCTTTTCGAAAATGTTTATGGACCGAAAAGAAAAGTGATGCTTTGTTGTTATTATTCTTCTATTTTTCTTCGATCCGGACGGCCCAAAGTCACATAATTCAGTGCCTGCATTGAGAAGATTCTTTCAGCCTAATTGGGCGAAATCCCGTGCATCTACTTAACTCCTTGAGGGTACCATTCAGTAAGTCCAGTGTTGGGCTGGGGCCTTGGAGGCCTCGCCCGCTGGCCCGGTGCTTGGGCACCTCCTTGGATCGTTGGCTGGATCGTCGGTTCCTTAGTGATGATTCGAGTTAGGAGGGCCCACGTCCTTCGTTGATCGTCGATGCCACCAGCAAAACAAACCACACATTCCTTTAACACAGAAACAACGGTCTTATATAGACAGCTTTGCACCATTATACGTGCTTCATCTAGGAGGGAATCATGATGCAACACCATAAAGTGTCCTTTTATTATTTCTTGTTTTCTGTCAGCAAGCCAGCTTTTTTTTTTTTTGATGTACGTACAGGTATTTTCAGGAGGATATAAAGTGACGGTGAACGATTTGCACTTGGACACAGTCGTTGATATTGTTCGTCATACTCAGAGCCATCGGATTCTTCGAGATTGTTTAAATCTCCTAACATGCGCTGTCGTTGTTGCACCGGTTAGTTTCCTCGACCAGTTCCAGTAATCGGATCAAACTATTGGTGTATGCAAAATCGAATAATTTAGTAGAATCACCTTATAATTAAGAAAGTGGTACGGATTAAGATCGCTTCCTGTTTTGTCATCTTGATTTTTGTGCCTTAATTGTTCATCTGTGGAAAGATAAACATGCAAAAATGAAGTGGTTGGGTTCAAAATGAAGTCGAAACAAGTAAAAATTAGCCGAAGAGGTACAAAAAAATCAGCATAATACAGCTTTTTTGCATTATTATTCGAATGGATAATTAAGATTACTTATAAAAAATTATTTG